TTGGAGCTTTTAACGGCCCGTTGGGTTCAACGCCCGCATTACTTCCTAGGCGTGTCGACACACTACATCACTGCGGACTAAACCATTTAGATAATGGTGCGAGTGACGCGCATGTGACACCATTCGCAGAACCTCGTTCCTCGGAAGGTGGACTTGTTGCACCGCACCCAATGACCTTACTCCTGCACAATATCTGAAAAACCAGTGTGATGTTACCTATTAGCATCCTCGACCGCGTTGTTTCGGACATCCACAACACGTTGAGCAAACTCGTTCAAAGTGGTGATTACAGAAGGGATACAGCTTGTAGGAGTATCACGAGATGCCCAATCATCCACCTGAATAAATATAAAAGTTTGAGGTAAAAAATGTTCTTCTGATGAGCGAAATAGTCATTTAAGTTTTGTACAGTAGTTGTGAGCATTAAAACGATGTGTGCACTACCGGCTGTTTGTCAATTCCACCCCTCCCCGCCTCCCACCTTGCTCAGAATTTAGGCCAAATTTTATCGTGCTTATCGGGGTAGATTTCATCGAATGTTTGGCATGGTGTAGTCTCTTTCTAAACATGAATATAACATTCGTGCCAGAACATGCGGTGCTGCAGGCTAGTTTCAGCACCGCTGCAGCTCATGCAGGCATTCCCGGGATGGCGTCCGCCCACGCCATGAGCGCCAACGAACGCCAAGTGTTTTCGCTTCAAGCGAATGTGATGCAAGGTGACAGATTCCTGGCGACAAAGTCTTAGCCATTCTACCCTTAAGAGAGCTTCCAATAAAGGCCTGGTCAGAATTCGCACTAGCGGAGCAGTAAAGGTGAAAAGTACCAAGAACTGTTAATCACACCAACCTCAATAAACTGCCCTTTCGAATCGAGACGAGCCTTGATGAATTTATTATAAATTGCATCAATCACTATGTCTTCCAACTCACGTACAGAATTCAACCGAAGGCTGAAATTGAAAACTGAATGTCAGCGACACGTTCTTGAATTGGCTATGATGTAAGGTAAAAAATCTGGCTAGTCCGAAAATTGGCTAGTTTCTGACCGACGTTTTTTTCCTTGAACGGAATTGGGTAAAAGTGTCCCCTGAGGTAGTTTCACTTCCTGAATATGAATATCACACCCGCTTAGCGCGAACCGCCAAAACACGCTGAATCACCGAATTCGCTGAAAACTTCTTCCCACGGGTAGTTTGACCTCCTGAACACGGATATATTCTCGTCATCCGGGCAGTTGATTAGGGCGGTCGTCAACGGGCCGCAGCGCGTGCCAGGAACTATTTGCTTTTTCCAGGCTAATTTAGTCATTTTTTCCACCTTGTGAAGATAAGGAGCTGCTAATCTGGGAAAAAGTAGCCAAAACAGTGAAAAGTTGGAAAAAATGACTAAATTAGCCTGGAAAAAGCAAATAGTTCCTGGCCCGTTGACGACCGCCCTAATCAACTGCCCGGATGACGAGGGTACCACTCGTTCGACACGTAATGACCTCCTGAACACGGATATACCACTCGTTCGGCACGAAACTTTTTGACGCTCACGCTAAAGGTGCTGGCGCCAGAATACCCCAAATCACCGGCGCCTGTGGCGCGGGCGCCAGAAGGTTTCGGGCAAGCGAATGTGATATTCGTATTCAGGAGGTCAAACTACCCTAGGAGACAACATTTGAGCCAAATCTGTCCACGGAGAAAAAAGTCGGTCAAAAACTGGCTCAATTTCGGATGACTGGGGCAGTAAAGGGTAAACAGGTAAACAGTGCCTTAGTTTTTTCTACACTCTTTATCCAACAAATGGGTTGAGCGTGACTGCGCTTTCTTTTTAAACATGTCGTAAGATTCATTTGGAGAATCGGAGAATCTTACAACGAGAACAGATACGCAGCGATTTGCTCTCCTCAAATGGTCGTCCACATCCTCCCGGATTCTGCAATTGTCTAGTGCCTCAAAGTATTAACACCCCCTTAGCCGATATCAGAAAAGGTGCCGATAGGACCTAATCTCCAAAGGTAAAGGACCAGAGTTCGCGTAATGAAGCCCTAAATTCCTAAATGACCAGACTTTCACTCAGGCTCGAGCGGCGATTGAGAAAAAAGAGGAATAACTACCAGTTATAAAGATCACTTACAATTTCATCACCTCGGCATAAGGAAGTTGTCTACTGGATGTACTCGCCGCTGCGAGGCTGATTAGTGAGAGCTGCCGTAGTTTTGACAACGCAGCAGGCGGTAGCTTCACCTAAAAATATCTAACATGCTGATCAACAAAGATGATAGGCAAATGAGGCCCTCCGAAACGATATGCATCATCCGAAGTGTCTTTGGACGGTGTTTACAAATACTCCGCCCGCTTCTGCTTCGGAACATCCTGAAGAAAGGTACGGTTCTGGGTGTATCCTTCCTGTGGGGTGCGTATCGTCACCCATACGCACAAGGCCGCTTCGAATGCGAGACAGAACGCAGTAAATCGAAATCGAACTGCAGGCAGTAGGCCAGCTCCGAAACCGCTGAGCCCCGTTCCATTCAAAGCAATTGCGTTAAGTATGAGCCCTAAAAAACCTCCGTAACTTTGCTCTACGAAATCCGCAGCAGATACGGAAGACGGACTGGCGCCGAATTTTGTGGGACATTTTGCACGTACTTCCTTTTGCTGGTTTATGTTCACTGACAGCTCATACTTTGTGAGACCTATATGCCGTTGTGAAGCGGCGAAATGGTACAAGCGCACTTTTTACAGAACTTCTCAAGACCCGTACCAGCTTTGGTCAGTACTACTTGGTGCCCCAATCAGCCGCAACAGTTGACGCAATCAGGCGTCAAGAGCCCATTGTTGATGAGCACATTTCATTATCAACGAATACTTCGAGTCTACCACTCATCCCTGATAGATAAAGATTTCAATTCCCCCACAAACTGGTAGCCGTCTTACCTCTTCGGGTAGGTCTTGCAGTGTTCCATATGCGAAAACCTCAAGCGTCTTGTATAACATGGGATTAGTCTGTTAGTCTGTTGAAGTGCCTGGAAGATTCGTTTCATCGCTACTATTCGCTAGCCAAAGAGGTTTCTCCAGACTCAATAATGAATAAGCGCAAATTTGCTAGAAATTACCTGAATGCCTCGTTGAGCAAACATTTCTGAAACGTTTATCACGCGCGGGTTGTTGATGGCGCACTCAATCGCCACCTCAGGCGTATTTACTACTTCTGGCACCATTTCTATGAAGGCTCTTGTGCTCCCTATAAAATCACAGCTTCACAGCAGGTACATGTAACCAGTAGAATCTTCTCGCGCTCAAAGAAATGCATGCGAGGATATGCAGATGATCCTTGCAAACGATAGTGTTTTTGAAGGAGGCATAGCTTGTGCAGCCAGATTAGATCCCATTTAGCTGGGATCTTTGGGCTTAGGATGACATCATTGGTGGAAAAATGGCGTTGCTCCCTATCGTTTGCAGGGATCATGACTCTGGTGCACACTAGAAATAACCATGGATTGTCAAATCCTCAGGCAAACGTTATACATATTTTAACAAAATTTATTTTGGTGCTACAACGCACCGGATTACATCTATACATTTAGGTTCTATACAGTATACGTTTGACTATATATGGTAAAGTCTAGTTACAACAATATTCAAAAGTCTGTGACACGTCCTTTGCGCTCCCAATCTCCATATCGAGTCGGTTCAACACCAGCAGGACCACCGATCTGGAATGTTGCAAATAGCTGACAAAAAAAAAAGTGTAGAAATTAAAAGAGACGACGGAGACCAGGATGACCTTCTAAAAAAAGTTCTTCCTCATATTCACGGAACGTGTAGACCAGATTTAGAAGAAAAGCGAGCAAAAGGAGTTGCCTTTGCGCTTAGCGAAAGCTAAATTTCTCCCTCGTTCCTCTTCCACTTCTCGTTTAGCTACACGGACCATAAAGGATCACCAACTGGGCCGCGTTCATATTTTTCATTGATCTTTTAAAGACAGCTCCCGCGATAAAAGTCTCATGGATAGCTGCTTTCCAATTATGAAACAGCAGCTGATAAGTAATCT